TCAGAAAATTATCACAGCTAACATTATCAATAACTGCCTAACATCTAATATATTGTAAATATTAAAATTTCCCCAATTTTTCTCCAAAATCTTTTCAGCTGGTTTGTGCAAACCAGACACCAGTCAAAGACCAACCGTTGCAGTTGGTTCTGTAGAAGACAGTCCCCACCGCCACTTTTTTTTTCTGTGACATTTATTTAAGAAACCAGGTCAACTGCCTTGTACATTGCGCATTCTGGATTGGCCTGTTACATCATAGTGTAATTAAATTTATTCCTGTCCTCTACATAACTGGAGGTTAGACCCTCAACCTTCATGAATATCAGCATAAACATTTTAGCAAGAGTATTTCACAGGTGATGCTGTGCACATATCACATAACATGGTGCAATGTCACAGGCACATGTCTGGTGCAACCGTTATTAGTGGTGCTATTTGACCATTGTGCTATAAAGGAGACAGCAAGATCTCTCAATTGTAAAGTGGTGTCCCCCTTTCTGACTATAAGTAGAGCGTGATACTCTTCTTTTATGAGAATATCCAGCTCTCCATCAAACTTGTTGATGGTTTTACTATCCATTGATGAGCCATGCCTAAGTCAATTTTTTTATTAATAGTTGCAAAATAGTGATCTCTAATTCTATTAGCCTTCTACATTTATTAACTTTCTTTTATTTTTCAAAAAAGTATTCCCTTCTCAACTGGTGCTGCTTGGTTACTCTGAAATACAGTTCCCACTGAAAAGGCAGACAAATGCTCTTCTTTAATTACCAGTTTTAAGAGTAAGGAAGTGGTATGATAGCTTCTCCGATGTTGGGAAAGGAGGATTTTTTTTTTTCCTTTTGGCTTTCTCTTTAATTCAGTTATCTATTATTATATAGCAAATCACTTAAAAACCCAGTGACATAGAATTATAAGCATTTATAATTGTTCATGTGGCTTGGGGTCAGATGATCATCCTCGTTGATTTGGGCCAGGCATGGCCAATCTTGGTTGGGCTCACTCCTGTGTCTGTGATCAGCCAGTGAGTTAGTCAGGGGCCAGCTGCTCTAGAATGGCCTCACTTAAATACCTGGCAAATGGCTAACTGGTGGGTAGGACTACATTCCTCTCATCAACCAGCAAGCTAGCCCTGGTTTCTTTAAACAGTGGTGGTAAGGTTCTGAGAAAAAAGGAAAGAGCCTTATACAGGCTGATACATCACGTCTGCCATATTCTACTGCTCAAAGCAAATCATAGAGCCAGCCCATACTTACGGGGTAGGTAAGTAGAAGCCACCTCTTAATAGAAGCTGCAAAGTCACATGAAATGACACAGATATTGACAGGGATAAAGATTGGACATTTTTGCTATCTATGGACCATACTTTTTTAAGTGTAATTACAGAATCATGAATTTTTACATATTCAAAGTATTTCAAATAATTAGTCATTATTCTTTTTGCAACTTAGAAATGGCCCCCTTCAAGTAGTTTCCTCTGTCTCATCTCCATTAGTCTTTGAATAGTACCTTGCTTTCTGATATTACTTAGTTATTAAGTAATAATTAATTACTAAATAATTCTGGTAAGAAACATTGAATACAGAACTGGTGGGTTAAAATGCCATGAGGAACCAGATATTTACATGGTCTTGGATAGTTGCCACTACACCCACATCAGCCTACACTCAAAGGTAGTGGTTCTCTAGCTTTGGTAAGAAACTGAATTACCTGGGGAACTTGGTGGAAATACAAAGGCCCAAGGCCCTACCCTACTTCAACAAGCCTGGGCCTCTATGTTGTTTTGTAGCTCTCCAAGTGATTCTAATACTGTACCAGTTTTCAAACCAGCATTTGAGGAAAACCTGCCCAGTCGCCAGTGTTGGTGTATCTTCTACCTTTTCTGTTGTCTCACTTTTGCTGAAGTTTCACCTCTGCTTAAGGGCCCAGCACATGTAGCCCTGTCTCTACAGAAATGAACCCATATAAAAAGAGCCACTCACCAGCAACCTGCCAGACTGAAAATCATACATGGTTAGCACCTAATACAACATCCTTTGAGCTTAAAACCACCCACCTTGCCCTGCTGGAACCCTCAATCACAGCATTCTCCCCCCAGTTTTTACCCATGTAGATCCAATGTTCCTGGCCCATAAACCAAATATTAGAGAATTTTGGCGGGTCCAATAAATATTACCCCTATTATTTAGAACAGTAGTTCTCAATCAGGGGTGGTTATTTTGCCCTCAGGGTACATTTGGCAATATCTGGAGACATTTTTGTCACAACTGGAGGAGGGGGGAGAGAAGGGAGGATTCTACTAGCATCTAGTGAGTAGAGGCCAGGGGTGCTGCTAAACATCCTACAATGCACAGGACAGCCCACACAACCAAGAATTATCCAGACAAAAACGTCAATATTGTCAAGGTTGAGAAACCCAAATTTAAGATAGTACCCCTTCTAAATGAATTGCAGAGAAGACAAAAGTGCAAGCAGATGGGATTCATACCATCATACATATTACTATTAAAGACTAGATTAGGAGATAATTTATCTGCAGGCAAATGGACTTCCTATTACTGAAACCCAGAAGTAGACTCATCCATGCAGACACAGAGTAGGTAAATATATGCCTCTCCAAGTGAAGTCAGGCTCCTATAAAACTCATAGCATTCTGGAGCTAAGAACATGTGCTACCAGTTAGAAACATACTGGCTCTTGAGAACCAACTATTAAAACTTTGAGAAGTTTCGGGCCGACCCCGCAGCTCACTCGGGAGAGTGCAGCGCTGGTAGCACTGAGGCCGCGGGTTCGGATCCTATATAGGGATGGCTGGTGTGCTCACTGGCTGAGCATGGCGTGACCACACCAAGCCCAGGGTTGCGATCCCCTTACCGATCAGAAAAAAAAAAAAACTTTGAGAAGTTTCGGGCCGACCCCGCAGCTCACTCGGGAGAGTGCAGCGCTGGTAGCACTGAGGCCGCGGGTTCGGATCCTATATAGGGATGGCTGGTGTGCTCACTGGCTGAGCATGGCGTGACCACACCAAGCCCGGGGTTGCGATCCCCTTACCGATCAGAAAAAAAAAAAAACTTTGAGAAGTTTGCAAGCCAGTTAAGCCCTTGGCAGCGTAAAATCAGCCATGGTAATAGTATTTACTACCACTAAATACTACCGATTTATAGTATTTTTTTATTTACATCAAAATACTACACATCAGTGCTTTGTTCCTTTGGAAAAATAAAGTAGGATTCTTTTATCATGTAGAAACAATAAAATTCCAGATGGATTCAAGATTTAAATGAAACAATATAAACTACCCAGAGAAAAATATAATCAGAGCAAAGAAGTTCTCTCTAATCCATGTGGACCTAAAACACAAACCATAGAGACCAGGTCAACACATAATTACATAAAAATACATTATTTATGCCCAAAAATACCACTAAAAAGGCAAACTAGAAACTGAGGAAATTATTTACAAAATACATGACTAAGAGTAACCTATCAAGAATTCTTACAAATTAGAAAGAAAACAAACATCTCAATGGCAAAAGTCTTAGATTAGTAACTCGCAAAATACAAGAGTTCAAAATTAATAAAGAAAAATTTAAACATACCAGTTTTTGCCTGTCACAATTGACAAAAAGGGGAGAAGGTAGAATATAGCTACTGCTGAGAAGAACATATAGGTACCATGAAAAACTACTGTCGAAAGCATAGGTCAGTAAAAACTTTTTGTTGGCAAAATGACAGTATGCACCCTTTGATCTTACACATTTATGAATTTATTCTAGGAAAAATAAAAGTGTATAAAGCTTTAGTCAGACTACTGTGGCCAATAAGAATGGGCTCAATAATTTATAGTAAATCCATTTAATGAAATACTATACACACATTAATGTTGGAATATTTGACACGTGCAGATATTCACCATTTAAATTCAAAAAGGCTGAAAGCAGTACATTCAGAAAAAGCATTTTGTAAAAGTACGTGCTGAGAATGTACTGAGAAAATATGAGCGGATATACAGCGAAGTGTGATCAACATTTTCCTTTTTGCTTACCCACATTTCTACAATGTACATATGAAGGGTCTTCAAAAAGTTCATGGAAGGATTCATATTATCTTTTAATTCAATTTTTCCACCTTTTTTTTTTTTTTTGTGGCCAGTTGGGGATCCTATCCCTTGACCTTGGTGTTATAACACTACGCTCTAACCAACTGTAGTGGATTGAGTTATGTCCCCCCAAAACTCCCTGAAGCTTGAATTGTGTCCCCCCAGGTTTTAAGTTTTAGAAACTTAGCCCCCACTGTGACTGTTAAGAGGGTGGAAAATCCTATTATCGTAATTGGAAGGTGGAGGCTTGAAGAGGTGATTGGATTGTAGGACCGTGCAGCAGTGAATGGATTAAAAATGTTGGCCAGGGGCATGCTTCTGAGGGCTTTAAAAGAAGAGGAGAGTCTGTCACTCTCTCTTTCTTGCTCTCTCTGCTTCCACCATCTTGCAATGTGAGAACCCTGGGTCACTGTCACCACCACCAGATAGATGGACTTTGGACTTCCCAGCCTCAGAAACTGTAAGCGATAAATTTTGTTTTCTTTATAAATTAACCAGTTTGAGGTATTTTGTTATAAGCAACGAAAACAGACTAATACACCAACTAAGCTAAACCAGCCAGCCATTTGTCCACAAAATTTCTGAACTATCCTCATATATTAGCTGAGTATTTTTGTTTGTTTGTTTTTAATAGGAGTTAATGAAACGAGTTCAGTAGAAAAATCTTCATTACAAAACATTACAGTTTGAACTGAATTTTCTAAGTAATCATTTCAGGTTTTTTAAATGTATCTGTTCAAAATCAAAGTTTGTCATTCTGTTTGGAAGAATTTTTGTTTGAAAATCAAATGGTCATGTAAATGAGAACGCACATAGGCATTAAAATGACATGAAAGCAAGTGGCAAAGTAACTACAACTTTTGTCCCACTGGCTATTGCAGTATAATAAATAAAATGACACTTAACCAAAAACACCTTTATTTTAATCTTCAAAGAAGAAACTCTTTTCTTCTTTTTCCAATATAATCATGATTAACTTAGAAAAATGGGCATACATCTTCAAAGCATTTCCCTTTAACGGGAAACTTAGTTTTACAGGATCTAAAACATTAAACGGCAAATAAAAATTTCTATTTTGTTGCTATTATAAGACAAAACAGAATCTAGCATAAGTCAAGGAATCCCATTCATACTTCAGGTCCTTCTCCTCCAGGAACCAGCTGCAAAAGGGGAAAAAGAGTTTATCAATAACACCATCACCACATCATCTAAAAACCCCTACTAAGTTCCCCTCATTGAACAAAGCCATCTTTCCCCCTTTCCCCTACCTCACATTCCCATTTTCTCCAGATCGTCAATTTCGTTTACGAATTCTCATCACTATTAATTAATACTTAATCTCTCAACAATAACCAGAGAAAATAAAATATTAAAAAGCCCAAGAAACTAATCTTTAAGTCCAATGCCTCTTCAGTAGCTCAGCTTTACAGTCTTGACTACGAATCTCTCTTTCCCATCTTAAGCACCACTGGGCGTAAGCATTTAGTCAAACAGCATTCCAAGTTAGTTCTATAATTCCTGCCCCACAAAAATGGGCTAGCATTTCAATAAAACAGCTTTAATGTGTCTTACCATTGTTATATTATTTCCATTTAGCAAAATCTGATCTAATTTAGTAATCCTTCTTCCTTCTGGTGTGATTTCACTACATGAGTAGATAAAAGAATTAGAATAAACAGTGGTAATCAAAGTCAACATTTTGGAAATACTTTCCCACCCTAAAAAGGTTATTCTTGTATACAAATAAATGCGAAATCAGGCAATTATATCAATAATTTTCAGAGACAAAGGTTATCCACTGAGTCGTGTACATTCTTCATCAAGGGCAACCAAGTTGACTGACTGATTTAATATCCACATCCACTAGACTGATTCTTCATAAAAAGAACCTAAAACTTGCCAAGGATATCAAATATGAAATGAAATGTTTAGCAGCCTCATTCTTTTTCTTTAACACATCTATTACTATTGATTCCTATCCATTAAACCAATCTGTTGTCAATTAAATTTTGAAAACAGAGATACTGGTTGTAATCTTTACAATTAATGTAAGTGAGCCATCATTTACATTTTATGTTATACATTTAATTGCTTTTCTTATCAGTTCTTCAATTTGACCCGAGCCCTAAAATTCTTGGCTGTTTGGGGTATTTTTCACCTTAAAGCTTTGTCTCCACTAATTTCCCAGCAATTTAGTAACAATTACATTAAGATAATAACCTTCTGATCCAATTTTACAAGCAACAATAGATAAAATTTCTATCTTTAAGGTAATTCTAACAGGTAATGTTTTCTTGTAAATCATTTCACTGACTCAGTAGTATTAATACCACCTTTAAATAAAGAAAGATTCCACCCAATTCTTTAATTTTTAACACTACTCACAACTCAGTAACATCTTCCAGTACCATATCTGAAATTTGGTGTTAAGAAAATAAACATACCATAATAAATTTACTCTGGCTTCTGCATTGCTCAGTTTTAATTATAGCGTTTAACACAATGGCCCAAATTGAAAATGCTTGTTGTTGGCAGGAATTTAATCTTCCAGTATATACCTCTTAAAATGCTATCACAGGTTCCCTGAGAATAAACTGATTTTTATTATAATAATCAGAAATTTACTGATTGTCTGGCCGGCCCGGTGGCGCACTGCTACAGTGCGCCACTTGGGAGCGCGACAGCGCTCCCGCCGAGGGTTCAGTTCCCACATACAGACCGGCCGCTCACTGGCTGAGCACGGTGCGGGGGCAACACCGAGGGTTGCGATCCCGTTGCCGGTCCCAGTCCGGTACGGGCGCGACACTGAGGGTTGCGATCCGTTGCCAGTCACGAAAAAAGACAAAAAGGAAAAAAAAAATTTACTGATTGTCTATAGTTCTTATTTACGTTATTGAAAACATAAGAAAACCTATGCCACCACCATCTTTTAAAAGGATACTGACAAAGTCATCAAATCCTAGAAGTGTGCCAACAATTTCCTTATCACTCTTCATCACAATGTGAATTCTTGATCCTATACATTTGTCCACAAGCTCTGTGAAGGGAAAAAGATTATTTTACCCATTCATTATTTCAATAAATATTTGAGTGCCAGGACTGGCACTCATTACTTACATATGGTGAAAGATAAACCAGGAAAAATATTCATTCAACAGCTTTAGGTCTTATAATACAAATCTCTGTTCTATCATTACTTTTACAGAAAAGTTTTCCTTGATCTCCACTTACCTTTTCTTTGTAGCAAATTATCACGATTGTGGTTTTGTACTTACTTTAGATTATTTGGTTAATGTATGAACACACACACAAACCCCCAGAGTCTAAGTTCCATGAGGGCAGAAACCGTGGTTATTTTTACTCATCACTGGATTTTCAAATGCACAGTGTCTACAGATACTGGACATTCCAAGAGTCTGTCGAATGACGGAATGAAAACTTTTAATTACGGCCACGTTTACTAACAACCATTCCTCACCAGCTACAAAATATTAGAGAGAGGCATAATTATCTTCACCGGAGACTCTTTCCTGTCACTACCTCCCTCACCCAACGAAGTCTACCCTCCGTGCTCTATCCTGTTATAAGAACAGCTTGAACATCTCTTTGCCAGCCTGGTGTTATTCTGCATGATGTTTACTTGTCCAGTGTTCTCTCCTTCACTGGCTTGTGAGCTATTTGAAGGCAATGGCTGTGGTTTAACTGTTGAATAGAGCCCACACGGTGTCTGGGGTATTAATGCTCAATAACTGTTTGTTGAATAAATGACAAACTGCTAGTTTCCAGATTCCTCTTTTGAGGCACATTCCAGACTGAGGAGCTATTCTCAATAATCAAGCAGATACACAGCAGGGTCTATGTAATCTGGGAATCTTAAATGCCAGGTTGAGAAGCGAGACACTAGATACGAGCGCACAACAGCAGCGGCCGACGACGCATTCACTGAGTGTGGACCTTCTCCGATGACGGTTTGGTTTGAGGAGTCACAAGTCCCTGCCTCGAGGAAGCCTACCACGCTAAAGGACAGGGACGGCCTAGAGCCGCAGAGACTTGGAGCCGAGAGACGAGCCGCGGAGAGGGAAGGCACTCGGTCCCATACGTTTCCCCACACTCGACCAGGCGCTGCCTCGGCCGCAGCTCCTCGGCTCCCAGCCCCCAGCCTCAGCTCCCCTGCCCCTGCTCCCCACTGACCACGATTACCTAGCGGCAGCAGCTGCGACGGGTTGGTAGTGGCGTTAGCTGCCATGGCTACGCCGGAAGTGGCCTGTCGGTCGACGATGGGACGGCGATTTTGAAAGAGCGCGCTTCCGCTTTTTCCCGCAGCCCGAGTAGGCTCGACCAATCTGAGGCCGAGCGTGCGATCCGGGCTGTCGACGTGGGGGTGGTGCCCGCTTGCTGCTGATCCGCGGCAGTGAGACCCCGCGAAATAGTTCCCATCCACTGAAAATTCTGCCATCTCGACGGATACCCACTCTGCCTTCGAAGTTGCGGAGAGAGGTTAAAGAGATCTTGCCTAGACGTTGCAAAATGCAGAAAACTTTTGAGTCATCTTATTTTCCCCTAAAAAGTTGCATCTCATCTCAAGCCAGGATCTTTTTTCAGACAAGAATAAATCAATTCGTATTTCCCGCCACCAATTTCACTGTGTTGCAATTTTCGTAAAAAAAAGTCCAGTGGATTGAAAACCCACAACCAGCATTTTAAAAACATTTTTCTATAGTGGAGACTTAAAATATTTTTCTTTTAACTTTTTTAAAACTTTAACTCATCGTTCTTATCTTTTTATATCTAGGAGTCTAATTTATTATATGCTTTTTTATTCATTATTTCTTCAACAAACAATTATCGTCTAATAGGCAGCCACCATATAACCACCATGGTTATATTCATAACCATCAACATTCTCCTTAATCTTCATAAGGTATTAAATACAAAGTAATGCCAAATTTGTTTGTGAAGGCCTTTTCTTTCCCTGGTTTTTCTTTTCTATCCCTATTCCTGTTTTATTTTTGCCATGCCATAGTGAGAGTATGAACGAAATACAAGACATTACTTCAGAGAGTTTAAGAGATCAGAAAAATATGCTTTAAGAAAATCAGTGCTTTATGTTTTCCATTACAATAATAGAATGAATATTAGCAATTTTTAATGCCACTAATGAAGAATAAAGAAAATCTTTTTACACTCTGAAAAAGGAGCTATCTAGTTCATTTACATGGTAGGGTTAATGGGGATTGGATGGAATGGTTTTCTTTTATTGCGTTCTTTCCTGAGTCAAGATACAAAAAGAAACAGGCCAATTTAATATAGAGAGTTCACTTTTAATCAACTTGAAAATATGTCATAGCTCTATGTCTCAAGGATTTTTCTTCCTCTAGCTCTTCTTTACAGTACAGATGTAAAATAGAATTTATAATTCACCACAAAATACATATAACAAGAAGAGGCTCTTCAACATATTATGTGTTCAGAAAGGCATTTCTAATTTTTCCCCTGGAGTAAAATGTTATCATATAAACGAAACCAAAGTTTCCTTTCAAAATAATGGTCAGAAAGTATTCAGTTATCTTAAATTGATGTTTCCAATCTTGATTGTCTCCAACACCTTTTAAATTTTATTTATTTATTTATTTTTGGTGGATGGCCAATAAGGGGATACAAATCCTTCTAACACTTTTTGAAACAAAGAGGAAATTTCTATTCTTTTCCCAACAGATTATTATACATTAATACAAATCATTTAAAAACTAATATGAAATAGTTGCTATTCTAAACTGTTAAATGGATCATTTACATATTTAGAGATGGAAAAAATCCTGTAAATTACTTTGCTTACTTTTTCTCCCAATTTCCCCAGTAACATATCTTCTTCATTAATAGCATTATGCATTTATTTATTTATTATTAATTTATTTTGGTGGCTGTCCAGCATGGAGGTCCAAACCCTTGATTTTGGTGTTAATAGCACCACGCTCTCCCAAGAGAGCTAAATGGCCAGCCCTGTTCATAGCATTACTTTAACTGTTGTATTTCTTAAACCATTGAAGCAAAATAATAGTTATGCATAGATGATTTAATATTAATTGAACATTCTAGGACAGAAAGTGATGCAGATTTTTATAAAGCTGTTACTGGGTCTCCTGGACAATGAATTAATCAATTGGTGTTCACTACAGATATAGAGTTCTAAGATGCACTGTCCTTACATTTTTAAAAAAGGTGTTCAGTTAGACTTTAATTTATTTATGCCAATTGTGGAAAATATCAAGACAGATTACATCAAGAAAACAATTAACACATTAAGCAGGTAATATATCAAACAGTTAACATATCAAGGAAACAGTTAACTTATGTTGCATTCAAGGAATAGTATAGTTTCACATACAGTTCTGAGCCAACACCAAGAATTTTGTAATATAGTAAATAAATGGATAGCAAGATCTTGAAAAACTTCTATGGTGTTATTAGCATTAAAATAATTCTACCGAATCATAGAAACTAAGCTTGACTTAGGAAGCCACTGTTTTTCTCAGCTTTGCATAGATTAGAATAGAGGTCCTTACCTTCCAAGACCAGAAGTGGAAAATATCAAATGTTAAGGTCACCTAAACTAAGATATGTGCAATCAGCAATGGTTGACAATAAATAAATAAATAAATAAATAATAGCATTGGTTCGGTTAAGGCATGATAACCAAAAAATTTGCTCAGACCGGGTCAGCTAAATTATAGTGCCTTGGGAGATCTGAGGTAAGTCAGTAGTCACATCCACCAGTCCTGGAAAATGTTATCATAAGACCATTTTTACTTAGAAGCAGACAGGATGTCACCAGAAAACAATAAAATAACCTAGAATGCTTCTTGTGACCCTTACCCTAGACCCCTGTGGGATGTAAACTATTAATACCAAATCTATTCCTCATGCAGAACCAATAAAAAAAACCTGACGAAGTGGGCTAGCTGGTTAGCTCACGTGGTTAGAGCATGGGCCTGATGACACCAAGGTCCAGTGTTGATCCCTGTACCCGTCAGCTGCCAAGAAAAAAAAAAAAAAACGTGATGAAGTAATTAGGCAGAGCTGTCCTCTCTCTCCTTTGATCCTTCTCCTTCTTGTGATTGTAAAATGCTAAGCTCTGCTGGCCAGTATGGGGATCAGAACCCTTAGACCTTGGTCTATATAATACTAGGCTCTAATCAACTGAGATAACTAGCCAGTCCCAGGCTATCTCTGATGTGTAAGAATTACAGCAGAGAGAACTTCATTGTCATGCCAATTAAAGACTTAAGCTGGCCTATGGGGAAACCGGCTGTTATCCCTCTCTTCTGATTTCTCAGGAGGTCAGATAATTACTCAGTTTTAGTTTGGCAACTGGAACTTTAGCAGGAATCACACCATCTTGGTTTTTAGTCTGGTCTGTTGGGGGTCTAGAGTACAGATTAGTCCAAAATAACGGCCTCCTATAATTTTATTTAACACAACTGAACCTCCAGCCAATCAGAGGCTGAAAGCTGCCAAAACATAACCACATAAGGCAAACACCAACTGCAACCAATCAGGTTGTTTCTCTATGTCACTTCCTTTACTCTGGCTGTAAATATGACCTGCACATGTGCTGGGGTGGAGCAGTCTGAACCATTTTGGCCTGTACTGCTGCCCAATTCTAGAATTGTTTAACGAGTTCTCAAATTTTCTGTTTTATATCTCAAACGGTAAACTTCAGTTATTGTAGTAATCTCAAAGTCTATTTGAAGCAAGCACCTGCCCTTTATTCCAAAACCACTTAAATAACATTTTAGTTAAGGCTGGCAGGTTGGCTCAGATGGTTAGAGCGTGGTGTTGTTAACACCAAGGTCAGGGATTCTGATCCCCATAGGAGCCAGCCACCAAAAAACAACCCAAAAAACAAAAAGTGTGTTAAATCTGTATTTCTATTATTTACCTTAAATTGACATGAGTCATTGCTTCTTGTAAAAAAAAAAAAATGTCGCACGATCAGTAAAAGAATTAATACCCCTGGTGACAACGGACTCCATATACTTTGTGCTGACCAGAGTACTAAACCCAGAAGAAGATGGAATAAAAATACTTTTTTTTTTAATCCCAGGACTAGAGTAGTCATTTTACAGGTTTCCATGTAAACTTCCTTTATTGTCAAGGATATTCTGCTTCAGACCCTAAGTTGCTTCCAAACTCCTCTACATAATACATAAATGAGAAAAACAAACCAAAAAAATCCTGGAACTAGACGAAACAGAAACCTTGAGTAAGCAAGTAGTTTAAAGGTTGAAAACAGATATAGCCTCACCAATATACCTCCATGTTATTAAATATTTAAGAGTAAGGTCGAAGAGACCCTAGGCCAGGGAGAGGAAGGAAAGGAAGCGAAGTAATCACACACTCGGTGAGAAAAAGAAAAGGTGTGAAAAAAGGAAAGCTGAGGAAAGAGGCGGGAAGGCCCCGCCCCTGTCCCATCAAGCCCTCCTCTGGCCCCGCCCCGCTCCGTCAGCTCCCTCCCCGTTTGGCCCTCCCGCTCCGTAGGCCCCGCCCCCGTCCCCCACCATCTTTCCTCTTCTAGCCACGCCCCTCCCCAGGCTCCGCCTCGGCCCCTTCAGACCCCACCAGTCAGGTCCCTTCCGGACCTGCTCCGCCCCGCCGGCGGCGGCCGCCTCATCAGGTGACAGCCCGGAAGCAGCGGAAGCGGATGAGGGAAGAGCGGCTGCGGCCCCGGAGGGCGGCACGGAGCTGCTCGGCCTCCTCCGGGACCCCGGCGCGGCCCTCATGCGGCGCCCTCGCTGACACCTGAAATCCGTCGCTCCCCGTCCGCCGCGCACCGCGGGGCGTCCGGCCCGCAGCCCTTGGCGGTTGAAGTCGTTGTCTTGCCGGCCCGCGGCGGCCGCCCATGGAGAAGGCCGGGCGGGGCGGCAGTGGCGCCCCCCGGGGGCCCGTGCTGCACATCGTGGTGGTCGGCTTTCACCACAAGAAGGGCTGCCAGGTGAGCAAGGGGCCCGCGCCCGCCCCCGGGCATTCGGGCGTTTGTGTCCGCCCTCCTGCGCTCGGCTCAGCTCGGATCGGGCTCCATCCTGTCCACAGCGCCCGCGGCCGTTCGCCTCTGAACTTGACTCCTCTCCAGCTCCTCGCACTCACCCACAACCCCTTCTTTCTCCTGCCCCTGAAAATTGCATGATGAGCAGCGGAGGAGCTAGGTGGATGTGTGCGTAGATTGGTAGGTTTTTAAGTTCTCCTTTGGTGGAGTAGGAGGAAGGAATCGAAGGTCGGCCGCACTCTCTTCCCCATCCATTGCTCTCTCCCCTAACTTTCTGGGTGTCCACCTTTAATGAGAGTCTGTAGAAAAATTCTGCACTTGGAATCCGTCTTCAAGGTAATGAGCTCAGTGGGCTTCCACACAAATGCCTGAGGTAGATGTAGCCCATGCCGGCTCCGTGGGAAATCAACTTCCTTTGTTTATCTTCGATCTGTCGTGGTAGGGTGGTCGATTTACCCCACTCCCTTCCCATCTTGTCTAGACCTTGCCTTTTGGTCAGAGATGACCTCTCCAGATCAATTGCAATAAGAAAGTGTATTTACCGAGCAAAGTGTGCAAATAGGCATTTTTCAGTTTCTTCACTGAATCTTTAATCCAGCATCTGAAATGGAACATTTGCAATATATGTATTGAAGACAAGGAAACAAAATAGAAACAGAATTATTTAATGAGCGAGCAAACCCTGGAAGGCAGTGATGTCATGATGTGCTAGTGAGCAGTAAATTGAAATGCTTTTTTAAGGAATTGAAAATACTGGTTGCTACCACTAGATGAAGTAACATTTGGTTTCTTGCATTGTACAGAAAATACAACATTTGGGAAGACTTATTGGCAATAATTAAGTTTGTTAGAGGATAACAGAAAAGTGATGAAGGGAGTGAAAAGATGGTTGTGGTCATATGTTTAGAGACTACTTAAATTTACAATATCATATTCTTCTTCCCTCAGGTAAAAATGATATGGAAAAGACACTAAGGAGGAAGTAGCATTATTCAGTGTGGTATTAAAAGAATTCCACCCAGCAGCAGTAGAATATGTTTTTAAAACGTGACCCCATAAAGAGAATAGATATTTGAGATGGTACCATGGCATGCAAGCATGGTGCTAGTCATCGTTAGATTTTTAATACTTTAAAACTTTACATGTTTAAATATACTAGTCACTTTATAACTTTCTTTGTAAATGGGTGTAGTAATTGAAATTGAAGAAGGCAAAATGATCTTGCTGAGATTGCAATGCAAACAGTCAGGTCATATGTGTTTGTTGTGCTGTGACATTTTAGGAGTCTTTCAGGGTAAAGGAAGAGATGGAAGCCCACTTCAGAACCACACTGAATGGAGCTTTGGACAGAAAGAAGATAATATCTGTATTGGTAGGAGATAGAATCAAATCTCTTAATTTTTGCTGTTGTCCAAAATCAAGATTAACTATGTTTTCTACCTGTTTTATTGGTAAAAGTGATATAATTTATATATCCAGAAAGGAAAAATCATTTATTTTGTAAAACAAAATGCAACGCTGCTTAGAGATTAAAGAAAACTAAACAACAGATTGTAAAATGAAAGAGGCACTTTGGGCTGAAGTAGCACCCTGGGTGCTATGGCATTTCTCTGGATTTGTCTGGCTTTTGATTCAGAATTGAGGTAAAGGTCTTGTAAAATGAACACTGTGCTGAGAGTCAGGAGACCTACATGATGTTTTGGCATCACAGCTCTCATGACTTCCAGGAAGTCCAGATTGCTTAATTTTTCTTTACCTCTGTTTCCTCTACCACATTCTTCATAAGAATTTTAGACCTGGCAGGGATCCTTAGACATCATCTGCTCCAACTCCCTTAAACTGCAGATAAGTAAACTGAGGCCTGGAAAGGTTAAGTGATTTGAGCATACTTGCTCAGCTAGTCTGGCACTAACATTAAAACCCAGGTGTCCTTAGTCATTATAACTACATTTTTAAAAATAAATAAATAAATAATAATATAGTATTTATCATTTGTAACATTAAATAACACATACGCAAAGAGATTCATTATGTTGTATAACCATCACCACTATCTATACCCAAAACTCTTTCATCATCCCCAACAAAAAGTCTATACCCATTAAACAATATACATCTCTTTTAATAGCACTTTTAGGTTGTAGGCTCTTCATACAAAATAAAAATACATGCCTTGTTTTTGTTTTTTGTTTTTTGTTTTTTAATCCAAATAGTGCTTCACAGAGACAATGGCAATTGTTTTAATAAATGTACTTGTCGAGTGTGAGTTACTGATAGAATGGAAGAGAATGCAAAGGGTTTTGTCACAGTGCAATGAAAGATGAGAAACCTAGAATAGGTTGGTTTTTTCTCAGGTGCTCTACGTGGCTTGTTTTATTACTGCAGCTTTTTAAAATTACACCTGCCTCTCTTATAGCAGAAAATGAATCGCTAAACATGCTATAGATAGTCAAAGTCAAAATGCACGGTGAGTAAAAAGAGGTGGTTTTTAGATTGATCTATTGCATATTTTGTAGCTTTTGCAAGAGTCAAACATTTATAATTTTAATGAGAAATTTCTCAGAAAAGTTTTGGTATACTAGTAATCTCTTAATTTTCTGTTGTTCCTTTAATGGCGATTAGTTGGGTAGATGAAACTGACTTATGGAGTCTAATAAGGTTTAGTGAGTAGATCATCTGGAAGCCTTCTTTGGAAACCCTCTGTGGTACTAGTCAGGTTGTGTTGAGGGTCTGCTAAGACATTCAGTCTGCTCAGAAAACAGAGCAAGTGAATGAAAGAGACACACTGGGTTGTTTGAGGAAATTGACAAATCAGTTCAGCCAAAAACAATGAAGTGCTTGCTGGAGACAATTTGTATAAGTTAATGGTGGTTCATCACGGTGGAACAGGATGTTCAGTGGATGTACAATAGTATTGGAAAAGATGGAAAAATAATTTGTTCAACTACATTTTTTTCACTTTTGGTTACCCCACTTTTCTTTTTCGTCTTAGTTTTTATAAATATTAAGAACAATGTTTATTTTTGCTAGATAGAGAGGAGATAGCCACCTAAAAAATAAAAACAAATGTGCTAAAATTTCCAATATATATTATATTAGTTCTTAAAGGGTGTTTTTCACTTCTGCAAATCACTGCCTTTTTAGATGCCCTATGTGCTGTTTTCTTAACCCTTCAAAATCCAAATACATTTCATGTTTTGAAAGTGTCTTACATGCATAAGTCTTAGAAAGGATGACTGTTCTAGAGACTGCTGTTCATTTTAACCAGTATATCAGGTGTTGTAGAGATTCTAATTACGTAAGATTTTCCCCAGGATGGATTAATCTACTATGTCACCATTTTAAGATTTTACGTCTAGTATAAAGGATCAAAAGTGCATGGGTCATTGAATTGTGACTTTGACTTCAGATGGTTTTAACTTGTGTGAGGGTACTTTGTTACACTGCCCTTCCAAGTATTCAAAATTAGCTGCGGGTCATGTTGATCACCAGTTTTTTCCATGCACAGATTATTCATAACAAAAATACCCATAATTGGTTGTAATTTGTAACTTTTAGATTCAAGTGGACTGAAGTAAAACCTTTGTTTAAAAGTAATACTTTTCACTAGTCTGCTTGGTTAAGCATGACAACTTTGCCATTTCTCCTGCACTGCAGGGTGAAAGATGTCTTCTAAAACTTAATACTCAAAAATTAGGCTGTGGAAGATGTTTGCTCATCTTGCTTTTTGTATTTTTTCCACCTTTGAAGTCTTAAGGTGTATATTAAATGAAAAATATTCTTCATTTAAATTAAAATGAATATCTATTAACTTTATCACTTGATGATTTTTTCACTTTTATTTGGGTAACTTGTAGGAGTGAATTCTTCTGTAGATAACATGTTAGCTTTACTGGTGATTTTTCTAGTTTATTGATATATTTAACATTTGGAACATTATAAGTGATTTAAAGTACTACCATCACACTTAAAATAGTTTTGAAATATTTATCCTTTTCGTTTCAACTCTTTTCCCTGATTTTTTTTTTTTTTTCTTTTTTTGGCAACTGGCTGGTATGGGGATCCAAACCCATGACCTTGGTGTTATAAGTCTGTGCTCTAACGAATTGAGCTAACTGGCCAGCACTTTTAATTATTATTTTTATTTTTTAACTCAGCTTTTAGCAATGGACACTTCTTCCTTAGAACCTTACCTGAAATTAGATTCTGACATGAAATAATTTATGTCATGTCATAAATTTGCTTGTTATGGATTGTGTTTCAGAGTTTTGTTTGTTCCAATATATAAACTATATTTTTCAGATTAGCATAATTTTTTGCTAAATAATATAATCGAATGTATATCAAACTCTGCTTCTTTCATAGATAGGTTGGAACTTTTCTTTTTTTTTTTTTTTTTTTAAAGATGACCAGTAAGGGGATCTTACCCCTTGACTTGGTGTTGTCAGCACCATGCTCAACCAGTGAGCTAACTGGCCATCCCTATATAGGATCCGAACCCAGGGCCTTGGTGTTCTCAGCACCACACTCTCCCGAGTGAGCTACGAGCCAGCCCTAGGTTGGAACTTTTCTGAACACTCTACTAGGAATAGTTATTTTCCAAAATTATGTCATAAAAAGTTGGAATTATTACTTGATTTTTTGACCACTTTTCTGATAGAGTTCATGGTTTTCTATACATAGCTAGCAGTTTTAATTCTCGAATAAATTGGTTTTACCAGACAGACTGTATTTCTAAAAAAAAAAAAAAGTAGAATTATAAAAGAACTAGAACTAATGTTAACACTAGTTAACACTTTTCACCCAATAGTGAATAAAGCAACCATAAGCATTGAAGAGAACGGCATATTTTCCTGCTGGTTTGAATGAACTGGTCATGGGAAAGTCTCCATGGGTAGCAGAATGTTGCACTGCAAATTCAAGGATAGGTTGAGATTACAGAGGTAGGC